GAGAGAGAGAGAGAATATAATTAAGGTGCAATAGCATTACATTTGGGCACAGTAAAATCAGGTATTGAGAACTAATTCTACCATTAAGCAAGTTCTTAATCCCTTTAATTCTCAGTGTTTTAATATCTAATAGCGTTCACATTATAGAATCATATATATCAAGTAAGATAATGCATGTAAAGTGCTTGAGACAATGATTGGCACATGGTGAATCCTATATAATAAAAGCCTAGGTGGCACCACGCCCTCTCGCGATATCATCACAAGATGGCCACCACAGACGGCTGCCACAAGATGGCCACATGCACAGTGGAGGTGGGACCTGGTGGCCGCTCCGTGCAGTGAGGCCTGGGGGTCACGCGGCTCCGCGTAGCATGAAGGATGCCGGTTTTGGCATCTCCGCCACCTCGCGTGGAGGAAGCAGGTCCCGGCGGAGGAGATGGGCCACAGCAGGGTAGGGCAGTTGGGTGCAACCGGGCCAGCAGGGGAGGGCAGTTGGGGGGCGATCACGCCAGCAGGGGAGCAGTTAGGCATCAATCAGGCTGGTATGGAAGCAGTTAGGGGTTGATCAGGCTGGCAGGCAGAAATGATTAGGGGCAATCAGGCAGTCAGGCAGGTGAGCAGTTACGAGCCAGCAGTCCAGGATTGTGAAAGGGATGTCCAACTGCCAGTTTAGGCCCGATCCTTGCAGGGGTCCCAGATTGGAGAGGGTGCAGGCCAGGTTGAGGGACACCCTCCCCCGTCACCGTGCACGAATGTCGTGCACCGGGCCTCTAGTATTCAATAAATATTTGATGGTTGACTTTGTAGACATTTGATTTGTAAGAGCTTTAAACTTCTGAATATTAGGAAACATGTTTTTAATCTTAATATTCCTGGAACCTAAAGTAGTATCAAGTACAGAGTAATTGATTGTGAAATTGAAGGGAGCATGAATGCATGATATGAAAAGTATGCTCTTGCTAATTTAACATCTTACAAAGAGTCCATATGCAGATCCTTTGGTTTTGCAGGCCCTTATCCAAGTTTTCATTTATGACTCTAACTCTTATTTTTTGCTCCATGGTGCTTTTGGTCTTATCTGATTCAAGTAATTATTGGCTCTCAACTTTGATTTCTACCTTGGACTTTGTTTTTTGTCAAATTATATTTGACTAATGTCCCTCCATTACTACAACTTTTGTTTTTCTGTCAGAGATATGAGAATAAAAGGTATTCATCCATAAGAGAGAGAAATGCTAATAGACTCTGTGTCAGAAGGATCCTTCCTACCTAACACTAATCAAGATAAAAATCCATGACGCCCCATAGGTAGCCATGCACACATGCAGCACCGAGAACCTGACACACCGTCCAGCACAACCTCTTTCTTTCACAGAGGATGAAACATTGCCCCTGAAAGTGAAGGCATTTATCTCTCCTTGATTTAATAGTTAATTAGTAAGAGAACTGAGTTCAGACCTTCTTATTCCCAAGTCATTGCCCTTCTCACAATATCTTGCTGCTTTTGAGGAACTTAAAAATAGATTCAATGATGCTGAAACATCATTGATTTTTAAAATGGACAAGACTTCTGGTATTCCAGATCACAATGCCTAAGGAAAAATTCAACCTTACATATTTCTTCTGAAGAAAATAAAATGTAGTTCAGCTTTAAAAACTTGCAGTTGACTGGGTAAAAATGTTGTCTTCCATATGCTAAATCAACCAAATTTCAGTGCTGAACTTCTTGTGGGAAGCATATCTTTCAAACACAGCTAAAATGCATGTATTCTACATGGTCACATTGATGTTCAAAACAAAGATAATTATGCCATCTCAGTGATACATTTGTTGAAATCCAATTATATTTACAAATATTATTTTATATATGTGTTCATATCCAAAAGCAGTATGTCTCCAGCAATAATGAGCTCAAATGACCCCTCTCTGATAGAGAATACATTGGGGGGGAAAAAACCTCTTATGAGTTAGAAATTCAGTAGAGAATTTTTCACCAGTGAATGACAGATCATGTTGAATATATGAGGAAATGACACGACTTTGAAGTGTTGGAGATCTTCTGACATCTTGAAGCATTTGAAATGGCAGCTAATTTTTAGACAGCTTCCTCTTTGGCTCTTTATAGGCAAGTCAAATTTGGCAAGAGTTTACTATACTCTGCTCCATCAAAAGGAAATATCCACAATGCTCAATTTTATTATTTATTTATTTACTTATTTTTGTCAATCCTCATCTGAGGTTATTTTTTGCATTGCTTTTTCAGAGAGAATGAAAAGGAGGGATGGAGGGAGGAGGAGAGAGAAATATTGACATGAGAGAGATTCATTGAATGGCTGCCTCCTGCATATGCCCCAACTGGGGCAGGGAGCAAACCTGCAACCCAGGTACCTGCCCTTGACCAGGAATCTAACCCACAACCCTTTAGTACCTGGGCTGACACTAACCACTGAGAAACACCAGCCAGAGCAAAACACAATGCTCACTTTTAAACCATTATTTCTGAGAATAAAAGTAACGGCTTTTTTATGGTAACAATCCTATAAACATGACAATATTTTTTTCTCAATTAAACTGAGTTTTCAAGGAGCACTATATATAGTCATAATAATTATCTATCTGAATTATAAGTCAAATAGATGAATACTAGATCTTAAGATAAATTCAGGAATAGCTTGAAATCAATAACATCTTCCATGTTGACATATATAGTAGAATGCTGTCATTTTAAATGATAATATGTAATGCAGAACATAATTCTTTTATTTGAAAATGAGATTTAAATCAACTCAAAAGCTATGTTTTATAATAAGGAGCACATTGACAATACTTTTAACGTTATAGACTATAAACCCAAAGCTGCACACTGTGCAATCTATTGAAGAATACCCTGCCTCATCTTGGCATCTAATTTCAATTATAGGCAATTAATATGCTATACTAGACATAACAATTTAATTATATAAACATTACCTTTCATAAAATGTTTTTCTAACTAAAATTCACTATCTCACAAGTAAGGAAACATATTCATATAGTATAAAAACAAAATTATTCCAGAGAGTATATATAACATGTCCTATATTCCTTACCTCAGTGATTGTGTCACACCACAAGCTAGCCATATAAAAATCTCAGAGTCATGCTTACACTACCAGTTTATAGCTTCTAGTTCCTACAAAATCTCTTAAATCAAATCAAGTCTGATTCATTTCTACTGTCCTTTCCAATGTTCAGGTTCACATCTTATCTTCCAAAGGTTATGCAATAACACCTTTTCTGTTTGCTCTCCCTCTAGGTTCATCCCTTTCAAGTTGATAATGGTAAACTAGACATAAAAATTGTAAGTAATGTGGTTTCCTTACAGAAAGAAAGGGGCTTAAATATTTTACTTATTTAGAAACTATTTCATGCCTCATGTATTTCCATTCTTAATATTTATTTTAAAATTTCTGATGAACAGCTCTTTAAAATTTAGCCAAACTAAGGCCTATCAGAGGGAGCCACAAACTGTGGATCACTTTGTAGTTCCAAGCAGTTTTCTCAGGACATTGGCCTACACCAGGTTCCCTCTCAAGAGGACCCAGAAGCAACATATCCAGTGGCCAATTTGAATAACAACAAAGCATCATCCAATTAGCTTTTAAAAGGTGGCATATTAAAAGGGAAATTGTGGCAGGCACCAGATCATGTTTAGGCAAATTCAGCACCTATACAGCAATTCATACACTGTGGTAGGGATTGATCCTCACAGTCAACCAGCCTGATGGTCAACCCCAAGCTCAAACAGGCCAATAGCAATAAAGGCTCAATTACAACAGGAGGGCTCACAAAACCCACACAGGGACATTCCTGGAGCACCCAGATCAGATGATCAAGGAGACTAGATCCAATGGGTCCCACAGAATCCCTATTACATAAGGTCAACCTATTGAGACTGGGAGTCATAGCAGATCTACCCAATGCATAGAAACAAATACACAGAGGCAAAAAAAGTGGGAAGAAAAAGATACATGACCCCATGTATCCAACAAATCTGCAGAGAAAGAGCTAAATGAAATGTAGGCAAGCAATTTAGCATATATTGAGTTTAAATAAATAATTATAGGATGTTCAAGGAACTTAGTAAGAACTTCAACAAAGAGATAACAAGCATTAAAAAGAACATAGAAACCATAAAAAAGAACCAGTCATAAATAAAGAATACACGACCTGAAATGGTGAATACACTAGAAGTAATGAACAGTAGGTTGAAGGAATCAGAGGATCAAATGAGTAATTTGAAAGACAGAGTAGCAGAAAACATCCAATCAGAGCGGCAAAATTAAATAAAAAGTTAAAAATATGAGGATAGTTTAAGGGACATTTGAGACCACATAAAGCAGCGGTTTTCAACCTGTGGGTAGCGACCCCTTTGGGGGTCGAATGACCTTCACAGGGGTCGCCTAAGACCATCGGAAAACACATATATAATTACATATTGTTTTTGTGATTAATCACTATGCTTTAATTATGTTCATTTGTAACAATGAAAATATATCCTGCATATCATATATTTACATTACAATTCATAACAGTAGCAAAATTACATTTATGAAATAGCAACAAAAATAATTTTATGGTTGGGGGTCACCACAACATGAGGAACTGTATTAAAGGGTCACAGCATTAGGAAGGTTGAGAACCACTGACATAAATGATAACAACATTCCCAACATAGGTATACCAGAAGGAGAAGAAAGAGACCAAGGGATCAAGAACTTATTTGAAATAATGACCAAAAATTCCCTAATATAGGGAAGGAAAAAGACACACAAGTCCAGGAAGCATAGAGAATCCCAAGCAAGAGGAACCCAAAAAGACCCACATCAAGATACATCATAATTAAAATGGTAAAGGTTAAAGACAAAGAGAGAATTTTAAAAGCAGCAAGAGAAAGACAGTTAGTTACCTAAAAGGGAGCTCCCATAAAAATGTCAGCTGACTTCTCAACAGGAGCATTTCAGGCCAGTAAGGATTGGCATGAAATATTTAAAGTGATGAAAAGTAAGGACATGCAACCAAGACTATTTTGACCAGCAAGACTAGCATTTAAAATTGATAAAGGGAGTAATCCAGCAAGAGGATATAACCCTCATAAACATTTGAGGATATAACCCTTGTAATCATTTATGCACCCAACATAGGAACATCGAAATATAATAGCATCTTGATAAACATAAAGAAAGAGATCAACAGTAATACAGTCATTGTAGGAGATTTTAGCACCCCATTGATATCAAAGGGTAGATATTCCAGAAAGAAAATTAATAAGAAAAAAATGGCATTAAATTACACATTAGATCAGATGTAATTGATAGCTTCAGAGCATTTCACTCCAAAGTAGCAGAATATATATTCTTTTCAAGTGTATGTGGAACATTTTCTAGGAAAAACGACATGCAATGTCACAAAACAAGTTTCAATAAATTCGAGAAGATTGAAGTCATATCAATTAACTTCTCTGATCATAATGATATAAAACCAGAAATCAATTACAATAAAAAATCTGAAAAACACATAAAGACATGGAGGCTAAATAACATGTTACTCAACAGTGAATGGGTTAAAAATGAGATCAAGAAAGAAATCAAAAGGTACCTTGAGCCCTAGCTGGCTTGGCTCAGTGGATAGAGTGTTGGCCTATGGACTGAAAGGTCCCAGGTTCGATTCCCAGTCAAGGGCACATGCCTGGGTTGTGGGCTTGATCTCCAGTGTGGGGTGTGCAGGAGGCAGCCAATCAATGATCCTCTCTCATCATTAATGTTTCTATCTCTCTCTCTCCCTCTCCCTTCCTCTTTGAAATCAATAAAAATATATTGAAAAAAAAAAGATTCCTTGAAACAAATTAAAATGGGAACACCAAAACCCAAAATGTATGGCATTCAGCAAAAGCAGTCCTAAGAGGGAAATACAAGGTGTCCCAAAATATATACACACATTGAATGATTATAAAGTCAATGTTCATTAACATACAGTTCATTTTCAAAATTTAAAAGAATCTACAGAAATGAATACATTTCTTTTGTCAATGCTCATTTCAAACTGATGGCCGTTCTGGTCCAAACACTGCTAACAACTCAAAGCAATGGAATCGCAAACATCAAAAAACATTTCATTTGGTATTTGTGCAACCCCAATTTATTGACTGTTGCTGGTTTTCTAGAGTAAAATGTATCTTTTATGTATCCCCATGTAAATGTCTAGTGGCACTTTAGGATAAATTTTCTTTGTTCAAACCTTAATCTTAGTCTGGCTTCACTCATTATTTCAAATCAGTTAAACCTGAAAAGGAGTGAAAATTAAGTGAGTTATCAGCTGTTAAAGTGTGTATAATTTTTTGGGACACCTGTATATACACTTTAACAGCTGTTAATTCACTTAGTTTTAAAAATCAACTGTATGTTAATAAACACTGACTTTATAATCATTCAAAGTGAATATACATACATCTTTGGGGGACACCCTGTATATAGCATTACTGACTTACCTTTAGAAACAAGACAAATCTCAAAAAAAAATCCAACTTTGCAATTAAAGGAACTAGGAAAACAATAACAAACAATGCCCTAAATGAGTATAAGAATAAATAATAAAGATCAGAACAGAAATAAATGACATAGAGATTAAAAAATAATACAGAAGACCAGTAAAACCAACAGCTGGATCTTTGAAAAGATAAACAAGATCGACAAACTTTTAACTTTAAAAAAATAGAGAGGAGCTAAATTGGAAAAAAATAAGAAAGAAAATGAAAGAGAAGTAAAAATGAACTCTATAGAAATACAAGGTATTATATAAAAATGTTATGAATAACTCTATGCCAACAGATTGGAGAATCTGGACAAAATAGACAAATTCCTAGAAATATACAATCTTCCAAAACTGAATCAGGAAGAATCAGAAAATCTGAATAAACCAATTACAGCTAATGAAATTGAAGCAGTAATAATAATAATAAAAACTCCCCCAAAAACAGAAGTTCTGGACCAATGGCTCATAGGCAAATATTTCCAAACATTTAAAAAAGAACTAACACCTATCCTTCTCAAACTATTCCAAAATATTTGAGAAGAGAACACTCCCCATCTTTTTTATGAAGCCAGTATTATCCTAATTTCAAAACCAGATAAGAACAGTACAAATAAATAAAATTATGGGCCAATATCCCCAACTAATGCTAAAATTGTCAACAAAATATTAACAAACCAGAGCCAGCAATACACTAAAAATATCATAAACCATAATCAAGTGGGCTTTATTCCAGGGATACAAGGTTGGTACAATATCTGCAAATCAATAAACATGATACATCACATAAACAAAATGAAGGATAAAAATCACATGATCAAATCAATAGATGCAGAAAAAACATTTAATAAAACCCATTTATGATTTAAAAAAAATTCTCAGCAAAGTGGGAATAGAGGGAACATACCTCAACATAATAAAACCAATGTATAGCAAACACACAGACAACATCATACACAATAGGCAAAAACTATAAGCATTTCTCTTAAGATCAGTAACAAGACAGGGGTGTTTGCTTTCACCACTCTTATTCAACACAGTACTAGAAGTTCTAGCCACAGTGATCAGACAAGAAGAAGATATAAAAGGAATCCAAATTGGAAAGAAAGAAGTAAAACTGTCATTATTTGCATATGAAATGATACTGCATATAGAGAACCCTAAAGATTCCACACACAAAAAACCACTAGAACTGATAAAGGAATTCAGTAAAGTAGCAAGATACAAAATAAATGTCCAGAAATTAGTTGCATTTTTATATTCTAATAATGAAATATCGGAAGGGAAAGTAAGAAAACAGTTCCATTTAAAATCGCATTAAAAAATACAA